GAAGTTTGTTTACAATTAATTTTTGCATTCAGTCATGAGTAGTTTCAAGTTTTTTTCCATTTGAATTCTTCAATTGTTACAATTTGTTGTTTTTGTATTTTCTGTCCAGATTTATTTTCAACCATGATTTGATTCTGTTTTTTTTTTAATTCCAAACTATTTTAGTTGTTTTAGTTTCTTGAAATTTTTACAAACATGTTGCCTGCACTAGTTTAGTATACTATAAAATTCTAGTCTAGTTTTTTTATTTTGTTTCGGATTTTAGTCCTAATTCTTCTTAATTCTTTTTGTTCTAAAACATTTAGAAGCATTTTTAATTATGTTTAACACTTAGTTTAATTCTATTTGCATTTTACTAGTTGCATATTTTAGGCAATATAAGTCATAGCATGTTCATATTCATAATTAGCAAATATTTTAGTCTAATTGCATTTTTCAATTTGGTTTTATAGAATTTTGTTGTAGTTTTACATCATTTTAATCATTTTCCAATTCTAATTGTGTGCTTAATTTGGTTTTTAGCTTTCATACTTGATTAGTTTAGTTTCCATTAGATTTATAACATACAAAATTTTTTAGTTAAATTTGTCACAAAATCTGTAACTAATTTTGTTTTTTTTTTTAATTCTAGCATTTTTTTTATTCGGTTCTTGATTTGTTTTTAGCATCTTTAGCATTTTTTTACCAATTTGATTTTACCATTTAGTATTTAATTCCATTTAAAGTTTTTACCAATTTCCATACGAAGCAATTTGATACATTTTAGTTTACTAGTTTAAAATTCCTTTTAGTTTTTTACTTTTAATGTTTTTTTTTACTTTTATAACTTCAAATCCCTATAAATTTACTTAATTTTTTTCCATTCAAATTACACATCATAAAAAGAACAATTTGCAATTTCACTCATTGGATTGATACTTAGTTTACCTCTTACTACATATTTGGGAAAACTAAATTTTGAAAACCTATGCGACTAAGGGTTTATCAGATGATTGTTTTTTTTTCTAATTTGGATGATTGTACTTTTTTTGTACTTTGGACGACTGTATTTTATTTACCATCATTTTTTACTTTAGATGTCTGTAATGATTAATTGGATAGTTGCATACTTTTATGACTATATTATGAATGTAGGTTTTCATTCAGTTAAAATTTAGATGACTTTGCATATGTTATATTCACGGTTTAGTTTTATTTTTGTAAAATTTAAATATTGTATGTTATGTGAAATCAAATTTTCATATATTTAATAAAAAATATAATTTTCAATCTACATAATAAAGCCTAACAATTTAAGTTTTTATTTTTTGTCTTACATAGAGGCTAATATTTGACCATGGAAAAGCGAAACAAAGAATATATGCATTTAGAAGAAGAATTAAGTACTAATGTCCCGGGGATGGATATGAACTTAATATGTTAGGCTCATGATCAGATACAAAATAATGTCAACACTGCAACACTAACCATGTTATGTAGTGTATCCTCTGCATTATACATGTTAGATAATTGTCTATAAGCAGTACCAACAACGTTAACCTCCATGGTCCTAAAAAAGATCATCATAGATGTGAGCTAATGTCATAAATGTGAGCTAATATCATATTTGGTTCATTTAGAGCGATGTCGTGATATTATTCGCATGGGACCTGACGCCTTCATCAAATTGTGTCATCAATTAAGAGCATTTAACATCGTGAAAGATACATTTAGGTCAATAGTTGAAAAACAAGTTGCAAAATTTTTACATATTTTAGGGCACAATGTTAAAAATCGCATCATGTCATTTTTCTTTCATAGATTAGGTGAGACAATGAGTCGACATTTCCACAACGTGTTAAATGCGACAATTGAGTTAGAGAAAGAATTTTCGATTTAACCATCAAGAACGAATGTACGAGCACACATCTATAACAATCCTAGATTTTATCCCTATTTTAAGGATTATCTTGGTATTGTTGATGGAACGCATGTCTGCGTCAAAATACAACGATCAAAAGCCTCTCGTTTTCGTGATAGAAAAGATTGGTAAACCCAAAATGTGTTTGCGACGTGCAGTTTCAACATGAAATTCACATATGTGCTAGCAGGGTGAGAAAGTACTACATCTGACTCGCAAATTTTAAAAGATGCCTTAATAAGCGATGATCCACTATCCATACCAGAAGGTATGGAGCATTTGATGAAAACAACATTTATTTGTTAACATAAATAATTAATAACAATTACTAATGTTCCTTTTTGTAGGTAAATATTATTTGGGAGTATAGGATTCATGTTAAAGACTCAAATTATAACTCCATATCGGGGGTAAGGTACCACTTTAAGGAGTATACGCAAAGAGGTCTTACAACTCCTCAAGAATTATTTAATCACCGTCATTTCTCATTGAGGAATGTAATTGAGAGGACGTTCGGTGTGTTAAAGAAAAGATTTCCCATTATAGCAAGTGGGATTGGACCCCATCATAATTTTGAAACATCTAGGAATATAGTTTTGACATGCTGTATTTTGCACAATTTTTTTGTGGAGTAGATAACAATGAATCTTTTCTACATGAAGTGACCTAGAATTAGAGGAGCGTGCAAATAATAGGTTTGTAACACAAATTCAAGAGGATGATTATAAGGAAGAGGCTAACTTAAGGGATTTGTTAGCAACCCAAATGTGGCATGATTATGAACAATAAATTATGTTCTATCCATTATGTTTTCTTGATTTTCTTAATGTTCATATATTTTTCAGTGTAGTTGACAATCTATAATATAGTATGATCACCACTTGTTTAATGTAGAAATTGTGTCTCAAACCATAATAACAATGGCATAAATTATCATAACTTAGTTGTTTCCATGCGAACAATAAATAGAGGGAAAGGACAGGTTTATTCAAGCCATAACATACGGGAGTTTACAAAATGGACTAAAGTTATTGATTTGCAATTACTAACTGTCATGATTAATGAAGCTTGGGCTGGCAATAGGATAGATGACAGTTGGACTAGTCATGCCTATACAAACATTGTAGAAGCTTAAGACAAGCTGATTATTCTTGCATCAACAAGAATAATGGAAAGAACAGACAGAAAAGTTTGAAAGATTGATGGCGTGAAGTCCATGATCTGTTAGTAGCCTAAGCGATTTTGCATGGAATGAGGCAACAAGGATGTTTGAAGTTGAACCTGAAGTCTAGATAGACTTGATTCAAGTGTGTGCAAATGTTTATCTCAGACAAAATCATTTGATGCCAAATGGCAGGTCACCTCTATTATGTTTTATGACTTGTTAGAAGAGTTATGAGAGCTGATCGTGCCACGGGGCACGTTTGACTTGGGCGTTAACCTAATTGAAGATATAGCAAATACCTTCCTCCACCAAGACTACACTCTCCTTTTACTAATATGCAGCCTAGTCCTCCACGAGTCAATTCATATAGGCCTGACGTCTCTCCATCTATGCCATCTGCCCCATCCGGTGACACCTCTTCATCCAGGGGCTCTAAGAGAAAAACCCACATGGTCAATGTTGATCTGAATTTATAGTTTGAAGCAATGAACACAAGAATCCACCAAATGGTGGATAGGATAGGAGAGAGTAACAAATATTTAGCCAAATTGATAAACTTGGTGGAGTCACATGTTGTTGTCATAGAAGCTCATAATGCTGACATTTACTGGCGAACAGACTTATATAGTGAGCACATTATCATCCAGAGAAACTCTATTACGCATATAATTTTGTATCAGTATAATTACCTCTACTTATTGGATGACTGTATTATATATATATATATATATATATATATATATATATATATATATATATATATTATTTTTTTATTGGGTGAATGTAACAAGATGTCTTATCAACGTGTAATTTGTTTATTTAGATGATTGTAATTAATGTTTCTTACAAATTCAAATATTATTTTATTTAATATTATTGTACATAACAATATTGTATTTATCTGAATGTTATTTACTTATTTTATTTAATGTGAAATAAAAAATTAGAAATGTACAAGAATTTATAAATTATTATTAAAGTAATACAATATTCATTCAAGATATAAAAAATTTTAAATATATAATTTAAACTACAACGAAAAATATTTTATAATTAATATATAAAATAATTTTAATTATACTTTATATATAAATAATTATATATTTAAATATTATATATAATATAAATTAATTAGCATTTTTATATTCGATTATATTATAATTATTATTTCTACACTAAAACAAGGATACTTTGGTTATTATATTAAAAAAATTATTATTTAAATTTTTTATATTCACTCTTATCAATCACATCAACTATTTCAAATCTTTCAAATCTATTCTTTTTCTTAATCCAAACAACCTCACAATCTATTCTAAATCACCTTAAATCTTCTTCCTCAAATACTCACCCCAATCCAAAAATTGTGTTATTCAATCATCTTCCTTTTCTATATGTCGTTCCTAAACATCTTTTCTATGTTTCAAGTCTATAATGAGTTATACTCAGTTGAAAAAGATTAAATCTTTGATTATTTCATCATACATTGAGTTACAAAAATTTCTAAATAAATATACTTCATCTGAAATCCTTTTGGTTAAAGGATCTCTTCTCTATAAAAAAAAATGGAGATTTGCTTTTGGTTATTGTATGATTATTATAACTACCATTTGGCATAATGAATTAACTTGAAAAGTTTGAAAAAGAAAAAAAGAAGCTTGAACGAATCTGAAAACTTACGGATGAATGCGCAATCTGAAAAAAATTGAAGTTTGCCATCATTGTTTACTCTTTTTTATCGTTAAGAATAGCATGTACGTAACTAACTACTAACAATTTATTTGGCACACACATGAATCTCAACTCTGTTGTTGAGAAATTGTATTACCACTGCCAAGCATGGGTAAATGTCACATGAACACAACAACCAGCCCAACATGGAACAACGTAAATAGGTTTGAGCGATGATATTCTCCAATTTAGTAGTTTATCGACTTATTTAGCAAAATATTTTTGATAGAGAGCTTGGGAGATGGCTAGAGCATCTCCTTTGGCCTTTACTGGGTAGACCTCATTGCCTTCCTGCCATTTGTTTGACAGTGAAATCCATTGTTTTCGCCACTCAATCAGCTTGAACTTCTTATTTTGTCTCAAGCTTTCTAACAAATTACTAAAATAAGTTGAAGCTCGAGGGAGATAGTAGCTTTCCAGAAGTCCACTCCAAAATTTGTTGGCTAATCAGAAACCAGACAAAACAGAAAACATCAACACAAGAATTAAAAATTGGATAACATAACAAAGTTTAAAAGGGTATTTTTACCATAATCATGGAGCTTGCTCTGAGTAGTTTCATTGGTATCAAACCACATTGTCACTTGTGTTCTAGCATTCCATTCATACTGTGGAGAACAGGTAAATGCATGAATTAAATCATCTCATTTTCTAAGGCGATCGATGTCTAAATAATAAGCAAGATGAGAATTACTTATTTTATGTACAATCAATAAAAGAGAAAAAAAAAATGAACATTTGTTTTGAATGACAACAATAGGGAACTGAAATCTGCGACTTCAATATTTTCATGTCTTGTAAGGTGTGTTTGACTGCATAGACTACACAGGCTCAAATCCCGAATTAATTTGTTTTGGTTGATATTAAAGTCTCCCCAAGTACACCTTTCTCATACAACCAGAAAATAAGAAAAATGTGACTAATAGGGTGTATAGGTTTTTTTCAAAAAATAAAAATAATTCTACACAGAATAAGGGTGGTGCCGAATCTAGTAGAGAATCTATCCAAATTTATTGGATCTTTTTAGAGCAATGAATATGGTAGAAGAATCTGCCAGAATCATTGGACCATATTTAGGAGCAACAAATCTGAAATAATCAATTCAGATACATTCAGACTCAGGTGCATTTATCTCCTTTATTCTCTCCTGATTTTTAGAAGATTTGTTTTTCTGTTTATTTGCATATTTATAGAAGACTCAATATTTTAATTCTGCATATACCCTATGTAATGTGATTCTGAACAATTGAGAAGACTAACAATAATTTTTCTAATTCTAGAAGTGGAGATCACTTGCTTAGAGAAAAGGGTTGATAAACTTTCTCTGGTCATTAACTTTTTCAAGTAATAATGCATAGTTATAGATAACAATGATTTTTATTATATTTTGAAGTACATTTAAGAGTTAAATTTATTCATCCTTATAGGCTAATAGCAGTTGTTAGAGATACAGTGAGCAATGAGAGTAAAATATGAAGCATCTCGTTTGTATAACTTGCAGAACTTCTCAAAAGCACTGTAGATATTTAAGTTTGTTATAGAATTTGAAAGATATTGTGACTAATTAGACTACAAAGGTTGTAATGATTATATGAACAGCATATTACATCAATCAGCAATTCAATATCAAACATGTGCACTATTCAAACGCTCCACTCAAGTTGCTAAATGGAATATGCTATATTTTAAATTCTAACAGTAGTGAGTGGAACATGCTAACTAAATAAAATTTAAATCATTCTATTCAATAAATCCAAATGATTTATTAAGAACAGGTGCCGCTAAAGGATTATTTGTAGGTAAAAATGCGTCCCTTACCTGCTTTATCTCACTTGGATTCACTGCCAAATTTTTAGCACTCTCAAGCCAGGTTCCAAGAAGAAAGTTATCATCCGAAGCAAGCAGTACATCAATATCTTTTATCAGTTGAAGGAACATATTGCTGTAAAATTGCAAAGCTTCAATGTTCTTCTTCTGAAACGAAGTAACTGCATCGTAGTATAACTTGTTCGCAAATTTTGATAATACTTGCCGTGTCAAGTCAACCAGGTCATACCTGTCAGAAAGATGGCAGCACTTTTAATAAGTTGATCAAATCATTTTCTCTTTTTACCTCACGTGTTCATTGTGTGTGCATGCGTAAAGTTTTTGGGAAGCAAAGTTTGACTTCCCAATATAGAGCAAACTGGGAATTCACCAAATTCGTCTTGACACCTGACCTTGTGCCACTTTATTCCTTCCTTTGGTGAACATAAAGCACCAAACTTCTAATCATTCCATCCATCAGACGTGATTGACCTGCTTACATCATATGGACTTCTATTTTCTACATAAATCATTTGAAATGCACAAGTTTGGATCCTTAGGCTAGAGTAGCATATATTTATACCTCAAGACAAAGTGATTTAGTGCTCTTAAATCTGATGTCTAAAGTAGTACTTTATCCAACTATAGCTCTAAACTGTTTTCCTGGTCCCTACTATCCACAAAAAGGCCTGGAGTGACTGTTAATTGACAAAGTAATTAAAAAGGATTAATCTGGTATCATAACATGCAGAGAAATTTGTCTACCTTAATCAAATGTGGAAGATGAATGTTTCCAAATTACAAGCGATTTATTATAAAGAACAATTTAAGATGAATAATATGCATCGTGTTAATAATTGGCAAGTGATTAACGAAAAATTAAATTAGCACATACTAAATTCAATAGATTACCTATATGTGAGACTTGTAGAAAGATTCTTCCCACCAGCCAGGAATAATTGTAATGCCTTAATTACGTCATCAGAGGGGTACCACAAATGAGCCTGTGGCATATCAGAAGGTGTTTCCTGGAATAAGTACCTTCTATTTCCAGGTGGCAACAAGTATATATTCTTCTGGTTGTTGGATACGCCAGTTTCAGAATTTGTTGATGGGTCCCAGTCAGGAAACATTACAATGAAATCATGATTATGGTCCTGACATAACAAGTTGTCCCAATCAATATCCCTATTAGACATTGAGGTCAACAAAAGGAACTAGAATACAACTCTATTCCTTCACCATTATGGTCCTAAGATCTCCTGCCCCACACATGCACACAGACAGTCCAAACACACCAAAAAGGTAATATTAGCTTGCACAAGAATGTCCATCATAAGCAGGAACTAATATCTTGTCAATACAACCATGATGCAGAAAAAGTTTTACATGATACCAACATCAAGACAGGCTATGGTTGAAGGCTCGAGTTTCCAAAGAAGTGGTAGATATATGATTTGTGATTACAATAAATAGAGATATGATATGATTTGATAGGAAAATATCTTAATCAATATTTTCTATCATCGGGTATTGATTTTGTTCCTTGTTATTGTATCTCTTTTTCATTATAAACAAGAGTAATGTTTATACAGATCACACAATTACAAGCAATCTTCTGTATGGACTTGAAAAAGGATTAGGGAAAGAAACAAAAACTCTAATTCTAATTTCTTGATTCAAATTGTACAAGGAAGTACATTATATAGAGAGTTCTACTACCCACAATAATCAATAATGAATCGTCATATCCCTTCTATATCTTTAAAATAAATGATAATATTTTTTCATAACTCAACACTCCCTCAAGTTGGTGAATAGGATATTAGTCATTCCCAACTTGCATGTAAGTCATGAATCTGTTATGTGAGAAACCACTTCGTAAAAAAAATCTGCATTTTTACGTCTAGTTGGGATGTAGGAAGCAGTTATAGGGCCAGTATCCTATTTCTCTTTGATGAAGTATTGGTCTATCTCTATATGCTTGGTCCTATCATGCTGAATATGCTTATGAGAAATACTAATAGCCAATTTATTGTCACAAAAGAATCATGGTTATATCACTTCTGAACAAACAAAGCAGAGTAGACATAGGTGTACCCAGGGATAAAAAATCTAAAGCTTAGGGATTTAATTTTTTTATGTATATTCCTAGGGTTAGGGTTAGGGTTTAGACTGAGGCCCAACCTCTTTTTGTATCTTCTCATATATAAATATAATAGTACCAGTGCCATTTTGACATTCTTTTTTTACCCTAAACATTTCTCTCAAGTGTTACAATAATTGCAACAGAGTAATGTTGACTACTACGGCCCCAATGCATCCACCACAATTGGAAGAGATGGAGACAAGAACAAAGGTGTCACTAGGAGGGGCAAAGTATTGTTCGAAAACATTTTGTTTCGTGTTATGAGACATAATTATCTTCATTGACCATGTCATAGTTAGGATACTTACGTAGTTGGCACATATGGCAAGTGGGAATAGGCCTTAACATACGGAGCCATCTTGGGCCACATAAAGGTGGAAACTATGCAAGCTAGAGTTCCCTTAACACTAGAGTTACTTCCTATCAGAGAGGAATATTACTCTTGAAGCAATTGATTTTGGAAATGGGACTATGAGAGAGCATATATTTGTACCCAACAATTCAAGAGGTCATGAGTAGTGTTAAATTGAGAAGAACCATTGTCATCATAAGTTGAGCGACAAGAAAACTACCATGTGGATCCCTAGAATAGAATTGGTGGAGTTATCCACTAATTGAGGGGTGCAAGCAGACACTATCATGAAGCAGGCTTGTATGTCAGAGGCAATGCAAATCAAGGCATCAACTATGAGGTTGGTATGTCTCTATGTATATAATCTCAAATCATAACCTAGCAACTTGGAAAGCCAACGTTATTTAGTGAGGGTCTAAATAATTTGGGTGAGTAGATTGCACAAGATCTATTGGTCGGTATACTCAAAACATAGTGAGACCATTTCTTTACTGTTGAAATGATGGCAAACATCTCTCGATAATACATCAAGGTAGACAACATTCAAGGAATTTTTACTATAAAAAGCAATGAGGTGGCCTACCATACCCTAGGCATTGATGTTAATGTAAAAAAGGAGTGTGAAATTGGGCAAGTTAAGTACTAGAAGGGATTATATGGCTCATTTCAAGACTTGAAAAGTAGATGTGGCTTTTACTATCCAAACAAAGGCATGCTTTTTAAGTAGTTCAATCAAAGGTCCTACATAGCATGATCACAAACAAAACGACTATAGTAGCTCATCAATCCCAAGTAGCGATGGCAAAACCGACTAGGCTTGGTGGGCTGGCCCCCCAGCCCAACTAAAAAATGGTGGGGCAGGTTGGTGGTTTTAGCTTGCCAACTCGACAGGCCTTTGGCGGGGTGGACTGGAGTCTGTAGTCTATCCTAACTATATCCTAACTATAGCGGGCCAACTTGTCCCGTCCCATTTTTGGCAGGCTAGAGGCTGGGTGTGCCAAAACGGGGCGGACTGACTCGTTTTCCCATCCCTAGTCCCAAGAAGCTACAAATGGTAGAGATTACATGCATTTGAGCCAATCAACAATAGCCAAAGCTTGTCAAGATTAACCGTGGTACCTAATATGTACCCAAGGTATGCAATAGTTTTGTCACCCAAAACTCACTTCAAATACTTTGCAAAAATATAATGAGACAAGGAGCTCCAAAACCAAGTGCAAGTGTACCAAATATAAGGCCAAATCCTTACTATATATCAACATGTGATCAAGAAATACCAAAATAAACTTCTGTAAGAATGATTAGAACACGTCATTCATAGTCGCTTGAAAAGTAGATGATGCATTTATCAGCTCAAATGACATGACGTGTAACAAAAAGTGATCATCTACCGCATAGAATGTTGTTTTAAACATGTCTTCACTGTGACTCAAATTAAGTGATAACCTGCCCAAAGATCTATCTTGGAGAAAACAAAGGACCCATGGAGCTTGTCAAGGAGTTCATCAATGGTAGGGATCAAAAAAAGATTGTTTATTGTAATAGTGTTGAGTGTCCTATAATTGACGCAAAATCCCCATGAACCATCCTTCTTATGAACTAGAAGAATGGGGAATGAAAATGGGTTTGTCCTAAGACGAATTATTATGTTATAGAGTATGCTAGTAATGATGTTAGTCATGAGTAAGTTAGTCATGAAGTGACATTAAGGGCAAAGGTAGGGTCGAATATTTACTATAGGAGCTTGGGGTTAGGTGAATATGGTGGTCTTGAGTGTGCTATAGAGGGAGGCCCTAGGGCTGAGCAAACACGGCCACAGAGTAACAATGTCGACCACCTCCTAGCAAACATTTGTGGTAATAATGGTGTTACCTGACAATGTTGTTTCTATGGAAGACAAGGTTATGGAGTGAATGTTGTCTATTGCATCGATGAATAAGAACCAACAAAGCTAAGATTATGAAGCACGGGTTGATGTTGTGGGCGATGAGCCAATTATTGTAACAAGTTGGTTCTTATAAGAGAATTGTATGGAAGGTACCAAGTAATCTCATAGGAAGGAAAAAAACAAAATTCTGAATACTGCTTTTCTTGGCTCTGTTTTATTCATGCTGATATATATAAGAAATGGGTTGATGCTGTGGGTGATGAGACGATGACTGTAACAGGTTGGTTCTTATAAGAGAATTCTATGGAAGGTACCAAATAAAATCTCATAGGAAGGAAAAAATACAGAATTCTGAATAATACTTTTCTTGGCTCTGTTTTATTCATTCTGATGTATATAAGAAAAGTCACCCAAGGATCAATCAAGTGGAATGGCATAACATCATAACAGAATTCGAAATCAAATCTATGAAAAGATCATAAATAACAGAAAAGATTCTTGTTGCCAGGTTGTGAATACAACTCCTTAAGAGCTGACAATCATTTGTAGTCTTTTCTCCATTCTCGAAGCTTCTTCATGTGTTAGGGTCTAATCCTGTTGGGCTCATAAAGTCTGCTTGGCCACTTGACTGTTTTACTTCCACTTCCACAATTGGGTTTTCTTCGTCTCGATTCACAGCGTATCATTTATATTTAGCTCTTGAAGAAAGGAGCCCTGTATTTATAATTATCGCCATACATGATAAACAATATATGTCCAAGTAATTACCGAAATTACATGGTTTAAGTAGAGAACCAGCAAGAGAGACAAGAGCCGAAATTACATGGTTTAAGTAGAGAACCAGCAAGAGAGACAAGAGCCAAATTTAATGTGTGTGTGTGTGTGTGTATATATATATATATATATATTATATTGATATAGTGTAATAGTGCAGTACAAAATATATTGTCTTATTTACACTAAAATACAAGGTCAAATATCAGTGCACTATACTACAAGTACAATCCTAAGACAACAGACGCACCAAGAAGACTTAGACTTATTGTAATTAAATAAACAAATCATGTAAGGTACTCTGAAATACTCTATAAGATGCAATAAAGATATTATGAGATGATTGCTAAACAGAAATTAATAGATGAAATACATACAGCAATTCCGTCAGTACAATTGTAAATTGTATGATAAAGAATCTCCCAAGCAGCCTCAACTTGATGAACAGATTTACCATATCGTCTTTTGCAATAACTCTTGATCCATTCCTACAAGAGTAATAAAGTTCAATCCACTTACAAAAGTTTCAATAATAATACAAAATTAATCTGTACAAATTAGGAGAAAAGAATGAATTTCTTATTCATTTATTAATGAAGAGCTGCAATGACGGCATAAATAAGCAGAATTGGTTAGAAAAACACTGTAGCCATTCTAATTACAAAATAAGTTAAATTAAAATAAAGATAGTAGAAAAACAAAAATCAAATCAAAATTAGAGATGCAATTTTATTTTGTCCAACTTTCTAGTAAACAAATTAGAAAGAATAAAATGTACACCATATCAACACCCCCGTCAAACTAGCACATGCAATAATTAACATGCCCAACATGCTTACCAGAAATTCAAGTTTGGGTCTAAACAGCGCTTTAGTAATTAAGTTTGCCTTCTGTTGGAGGGGGTGGAGCACAGGACATGCAAATAACTCCTAGATCAGCTTTCTTCTTAGTAATTTGCTTCAATGTCACATGCTTGGTTTGCTATAAAGCCCCACTACTTCAATTTGCTTCACGTATCCATATCTGGTACGTATCGTGTCAGATACTTCACCAATACTTCACTAATACGTATCAATGAAGTATCCAAACCTATGAAGCATCAATACTTTTATTTGTTTTATAAATAATACTTTTAGATATTTTACTGATGTGTATGTTAATTAAACATCAAAACTTTTAAATCATTTATATTTAATAAAAGTTTAAGAAACTATAAAATAGAAAAATATAAATATAAATTTTCATAAACCAAAGAAAAAGATTGTTCTTTTGGAGTATTTTAAGAAATTAATGAGAATAATAGTCTTATTTCTATATGTAAGTAACAGAATTTTTTAAGGACAATTATTTATATTTTTTATTTTCACACTATCTAAGAAATGTGATTTGAAATTTTGATTTGCATGACTGTAACTTTATAGTTATTATGTTTCATTAATTTTCTTTAAATACGTATCTTATCCTCTTTTTTTTTTAATAAACAAATCGTCATATATGATACTCGTATCGTATCATGCATCATATTTGGTTTGTCATGCTAGATAGGGTTTTGAGCAATACTGATTACAAACCTATTATCATGACGTAGTTTCATTGGTAGTCATAGGAAGTCGCAACTCTTCATTTAGTATGTATCGGTAGGTCTGAGATTGTTAGTTATTGTAATCTCTTTATTTCAGAGATTTCTCGGTTTAGTGTATATATATATATATATATATATATATATATATATATATATATATATATATGTGTGTGTGTGTAATAGAGAATTACACCATCTTCTACTGATTGTACTTTTCCTTAGCGTATCAATATATCTTTTTTGTTTACTTTTTTTTCAATAGAGATGTATCTCCTTTGAGAGACCATTATCCTCTTTTCCTAGATCCTTCAATTTCGATCCCTAGATGATGTTTTACACGACCAAGATCCTTATTTTCAAGTTCAGCACTCCTTCAATTTATATATCCCAGGCAAGTTATCCCCTCTGAGCACTATGTCATGCATATATACAATTAGCACACCAAACCTACCTTCAAGAGAATTCACAAAATAATGTGATCACTTTGACACTACACATATGCCCTTTTTTTTATTATTAGCAATTGAGCAACTCTAGGTGACTACTTCAACCCATATAGTGACTTCTCAAGCTTGTAAACTTTCTGTTGAAATGTGATTTGAAGCCTGGTGGTGAATCCATGCATACTTCTTTCCCCAAACCGCTTTTTAAGAAAGGATTCTTCACATCTAATTGTTGCCGAGATCAGTCAAGATTGGTTTCCAATGACAAGAGAACCATATTAGCATTTGCATAACGTGCAAAAACCTCCAAGTAGTCAACTCAATAAGTTAGAGTAAAACTTTCACCAATTGAGCTATCCATTTACATTATACTTAATTGTGAAAATCCATTTGCAGCTCACAATTTGTCTTTCCTCTTGACAAATCCGCCATTTTCCAGCTTTGGCTCTCTTCAAGAGCTCCCATCTCCTCCAAGACAACCTTTGACTCTGGAGAACCTTGGAGCAACTTATATATCTCTTGGTATTTTTTTCTTTTGTTAATTCTGATGTAAAACAATTAAAAAGTGAAAAATCATCATATGCCACAAAGTTCGAGGTAAGATACTTAGTGCAAGGGCATACGCCTTTACAAATAGCCATGGGAAGGTTAGATTGATCTAACTCCTCCATGCAATTGGATTAAATGCAACACTGATGGGGAAGCTAAGGTGCAGATAGGAGGGCTGGGTGTGTAGGTATTTTTCAGACTATGGGGCCTCTGTGGCTGGATGTTTTGCATATTCTCTTGGAGTACTCTCAGCTTTATATGCTGAAGCAATGGGTGTAAGTTCAGCATTGGAGATTGCAATTGATAAAGGCTGGAATTTCTTGGGATAGAATGTGATTCTCAACTTATTATCTAGGAGTTAAAGAACAACGATATTATTCCTTGGAAGCTTAGATATAGGTGGCTGCATTGCTTTGAATCACCTAACCCTATGCCTTCATTTTATTCAAATTTCCAGGGTGAGGAATGAGTAAGCTGATAAGCTTGCTGACTTCAGTTCTTGATCCCAAGGTTTCTCTTGGTGGGATAATGTACCTGATTTCTTAATTCCTGTACTCTTAAGGATGAATTTTCTCTGCCACACTATAGGTTTTCTTAATGGGTTTTGGCCTAGTCCCCCCACTTGTTTGTATGACATTTTTATTTGTTTTTATGGTACTTGGGGTGCTGCCAATGATTGTTGTTATTTGGGATGCCAACATAGTTGTGATGGCAATAACAAAATGATGCTTTTAGCACTTCCATCTTTTGATTAAAAAATAAAAATAAAGGTATAATTAATATAATTAGCCTATACAAATTCGCATTGATGCATTCAGACAAATGGTATTCAGCCTAATCATGTCTGTATTTTTTCTCTCTTAACAACACAACTTATATAAACACTACTTTGTCCTTATCATGAGTAGGTGTGAAAATTGGCTTTGTTGACTTTGATTGATATTGTGATAGGATCATTTGCTACATTGGAGTGATGGGATATTTTGGTGTGGTGCTATAAGGCAATGGACTCTCCAGCTACAAAGTTAGGTCGAGCATGGTTATTTGAAGAATCTAATCTATAAAATAGGAACATAGAAAACTTATATTCACACTTTCTACACATGACTTTGTAAATACATCAAGGGATTTAAATTTACAACATTGAAGTATACAAAATTCATGAGGCTGAGATGTTTCCCAAGAAAATTCAAATAAAACAACTGCAGTACAGAGCATATGAACATTACCGGAACTTGAACTTTCTTATCTCGAAATGCCATTTCAGACATCAACTCATAAACGATGGGATTCTGCTCAATTCCTTCCATGCACATACCAACACCTACCTGCCAAACAATTAGCCAAAATTTAAAATCAAAATGTTCAAGTAATAAATCAACATTATTACTCATTTTCTTTTTCAGGTAACATATGAAGATATTTTATGCAAAAACAATGATAGAGTTTATCAGCATGCTTGTGCCATTTTGTTTCTAAGTTTGAAGAAATAAAAACTCAAACTATGGCTGATATCGTAAATGTCAATATGTTCTTATGTCATACAGGAAATATTGCCAGTACCATTGTTGAGTTTGCACTGACTCGAGCATCAACAGGCCCAGAAGAAATTGCATCAAGGGTTCCATACATTTCAATATTGCCACCAAAATTATGAAGCATACACCTGAAGAAGAGTATGATTGAGAAAGCACAACTGTTTATAATATTGTATTTCTGTATAGAAACCAGTAACAAGAGGTAACAAAGTGCTAATTACCAGATATAAGGAGTACCATAAAACTGAAAGGAAGATTTCCATATTGGCTTTACATCAGCAAATAGATCAAGAACAATCATCTTTCCAAATGGGACAGAATGCAAAAGGGCCTGCAAATATTATCACTCAGTAAAAAAATCAATTTGAAGAAGCAGCATTTGGCATAACAGAATTACCTTACATAAAGAGTGTGTTACGAGAGTATTATAGGATCCTAATACTAGCAGCACATTGAAATAAGAAGTCAATGATCATTTTACCAAAATGCTTTAGTAACTGAAGAAATATTTGTGATCATCATGTAATTCCAAAAACACCCACTTGAGAAACCTTATATATCTCAGCTCATCTTATTGATGTATCTAAACTCATCTTATTAATTTATATCTTGATAAACTCATCTTCACAGTAATTCATCAATAATATCCCACATCTTCTACTTGGCATCAGAGTTCGATCTCTGATCCACCGATTTGCAGCCATGGCTGATAGTTCCTGAGCTTTTACCGATGATTAAAATTTTCAGCCTCCAAAATAGGAACAGAGGGTAGTTTTTGACGATTCTCATTCTGTCAAAATCACCTTTTTTCAGCTTAACGGGTCCAATTATCTCCAGTGGCTCTTATTGGCTCTGCTAGATGAATCTGTCCATATTCGGAGGCTTAAGTTTAAGGGAAATAAATCTGAACCAAATCAGATCATACATGTTTTAGGAAGTTTTCAATCTTTATTTTGTTTCCTTTTTATGTAAACCTATATGGTATCAGAACTTTGATTCTAACCTCTTTCAACTGTGGAAACATGTTCGACACCAGGACAGAGCGTACTATGATGTACATTGGCCTTCAGATCCTTATGATAAAAGGTTTATATCTGTTCATTCTATCTTTTTAGGACCCAATTTGGTCTCGTAGACACCAGGACAGAGCACACTATGATATACATTGGCCTTCCAATCCTTATGATAAACGGTTTATATCTGTTGATTCTATCTTTTTAGGACCGAATTTGGTCTCCTAGTAGTCTACATGGCAGACTGTTAGCTTGTTCCAACACTGATGTGCAGAATTGAAGCCTTGCTCTTGCTACTTCTAAGGTCCTGTCGATTCAAACCTTGTTTGAGCTAAAAGTTTCTCACACTACTCCTCAAATTCTGTGATAATTTGAGCAATGTGTTGCTAGTCATGACTGAATCCATCATGCTCTAACCAAGCATATAGAACTGAGATCTCTTTGTGAATAGGTGATTAACAAGCACCTGCCAGTCCTTCATGTACGTGCAATTGATCAATATGCAGATTTCATAAGAAGGCCTACCCCTCTGGAGTATAGAGTTTTACTCTGCATCTGTATGTTATATTTTGCCTTTGTATTTTTCAGTTTAAGTTCTACATCTAACTAACAATTGTCATTTAGTTAGAGGTTAGTTAACAACTAGTTCAGCTACATAAAGCTAACTCAAATATTCAGTGTGTATTCATTAGTTGACTTGTAATGAACAACTTCGCTTTATTCGCTAAATTTTTATGAACCCTACACAAATGAATTGCAAATGTGACTAGACAAGTGGCTTAAGCTTATTTGGTAGGACCTATGTACTCAAGGAAACTGAAGATATCTGGTCTGGTTTATGAATTACATACTTTAATTTGAGGTGGCTTCCAAAATGACGAGTCAGAGTAGAAGAGCCAGCCCTGCAAATTCATATATATTTGTCAGCTACAAATCACTGCCTAATGGCATCAAAATTTTCATAAAAGGAAATGGAAAAATACGGCAATCGTAACTCTTCAGCAATGCAAAGCAACTACACATAAAAGCATCATCCACAGCAGAAGAAACAAATTTGATTGTTCAGAAAATTAAGTACATCATGCCTGTGGATTAGGGAATGGAGAGCATGTATGTTCTCTGCAATATATTTATTTTGTACCACTTACACTTAGTAGTTAGAACTACTAACCACAGTGAAAAATAAATCTACTTCACAAAATTGGAAAAATAAATCTATACTGAGAAAGTGAAAAAATGGGATTAAGGAAATTATAAATAATGAAACTGTCTGTATGATCAAAGGCCTATTGCCTAGAAACGTATCTACCCTCAGTTTTGTCCACGATTTGCTAGTTGGGATCTCAAAAAAATGAAAATGACTTAGATAAATTTTCAAGAAGAACTTACAAGAAATTTACACAAAAAATAACAAAATAATATTTTTTATGAGATATCTGGAACTGGGTAATGAGAAGAATACTGTGGAAGATAATAGAGCTATCAAGCTAGTTTATCTATCTTTGGGTGATAGGGAATAGGGGCTCCTCTAAATTGAGCTTTATATAAAGTGTACAAGACAGAGTGTTTCTACCCACTTGATTCATATTAAAGTATACAATGATCTCTTAACCCACACAACTTCAAACTTGGATGTACTCACGTTCTTTATAGGCAAGATCACTTAAGAGCAGTTATTATAAAATTTCAATTGAATAACACATGGTGTCTAAGGGATTAGCTCAGTTATGACAATTATTGGCAGACAATAGGAGATTTTACATACTATTAATTGTTTGTACTTTTAATTAGGTTCAGTAATATATTTTAGGCGCAATTACTTTATAAAAAGGTTGGATGAAAAGCCGCTATTAAGATTTTAGGAGCATTTGTTATGCTATTATTATGTAAAATTTGTGTAGAAGCTGTCCTTCTCCACCAGTCCCCAAATCATCATGATGAAAGCTTTAGTTTGTTTATTGCTCTTACAGAATGTATTTGTTAAAGAGAGATAGCAGGAATGATCATCAACTTGAGAGAAAAAGACATGGCAAGCAACTGAGGGCTAGGGACAAGGTTAGTGCATCTAGGACATAGCTGAGGCCAATGCATCTAGGACATGGTTAGGAAGGACCAAAGCATTTGGGAATACGGGGCCAGTGCATCCGGGAGAAAGACAAAGCTAGTGCATCTAGGGCAAGGAAAACGCCAATGCATTTCGACCAAAGACAAGGCTAGTGCAATTGGACAAAGATGTACCCGGGAGAAAGACAAAGCTAGTGCATCTAGGGCAAGGAAAACGCCAATGCATTTCGACCAAAGACAAGGCTAGTGCAATTGGACAAAGATGTAGTCAGTACGTCTGGGACAATGACAAATCCAACGCATCTAGGACAAATTTGGGTTGGTGCATCTAGAACAATGCTTTCCTTAGGTTAGATAAAATCAAGGTGATCATACTTTGTTCATAAAACACTCCTGTATGGGTAAATCCACTATATTTCTTGTTTAAAAGTGGATGATATAATTATTGCAGAAGATGAAAAAAACCAAGAAATTGGCAGCCCAATTTGAAATGAGGGTCCTAGGAAAACTTAACTACTTTATTGGTGTTGAATATAGGAAAAAACTGTATAAGGTTAATCTCCCTTGTGTATAAACCACACATAGGGTAATCTATTTATAATAGAGATAGTTACAATTAAAAGAGTAAAAGAAAGTAAACAGAATAAACAGAAGATATTGTTTGATATTGTGATTAACAATATCTAATAATATCTTAACAATATCAAACAATATCTAACACTTCCCCTCAACCTGAAGCATACAAATCGTATGTGTCAAGCTTATTATAAATATAATCAATTCTAGGTCTCCGTAAAGACTTAGTAAAAATATTTGCTAACTGATCACTTGATGTCTCCAGACATAATATTCTTCCAAATGAAATGACAATCAATCTCAATGTGTTTGGTCCTCTCATGAAAGACAAGATTAGAGCTAATACGAAAAGCAGCCTGATTGTCACACACAAATGTCATTTGAGTGACATCTCCAAATTGTAATTCTCTAAGCAATTACTTGAGCCAAACAAGGTCATAGGTAGCTGAGGTCATAACTCTATATTCTGCTTCTGCACTGGATCTTGTCACAACACTCTGTTTTTTACTTTTTCACGAGATCAAATTATCACCAATAGAGACACAATACCGAGATGTAAATCTTGTATCAGAGGAAGATCCTGCCCAATCAGCATGGTTATTGGAATCATACAGCAAACCTTTTCCAGGAGACCCTTTGATGCATTCCAATGATCTTGACATGGATAATTAAAGAATTGACTCACCACACTGATTGCAAAAGATATGTCAGGACGAGTAAATGTAAGGTAATTTAATTTTTCAACCAATCTTCTATAGTGCTCAGGATCTGACATAGCCCCCCTTGATTTTGCAAGAGTTTGGTATCAGGATCCATGGGTGTGTCAATAGGCTTTGAATTCATCAACCTAGTTTCCTCCAAAATATCCAATGTATACTTTCTTTAAGATATAACAATGTCATCGGTAGATTGTGTCACCTCAATACCCAAGAAATATCTGAGTTTGTCAAGATCTTTGGTTTGAAAATGGTAGCAAAGGTGTTGTTTCATCTGGGAGATGTCATGGTGGTCACTGCCTGTAAGAACAATGTCATCAACATATACTATCAAATAGACACATCCAGCACTTGAGTGACATTAAAAAGACTGAGTGGTCTGCCTCACTTCTAGTCATGCCAAATTGTTAAACAATGCTACCAAATTTGTCAAACCAGGCCCTAGAAGACTGTTTTAGGTAAATAAACAGAAGTTTTGGTAAAAGAGATAACACAATCAAGAGAATGAGTTAGACGGCTAATGGAAAATAAGTTAAAGGGGGACCCGGATACATATAAAACATTATCAATGGATAAGGAAGGAAAAAGGTTAACCGTTCCAATACCATGAGCTAAAGTTGTAGACCCATTAGCCATTGTAACAGAGGGTAAATTATGGGGAGAGGAGACAGAGGGAAAATAAGGATTTGTTACCAGTAATGTGATATGTGGCTCCTGGGTCAAGAACCCAAGGGCCAATAGAAGAAGATTGAGTCAGACCAGCAAAAGATGTACCTGTGTGTGCAACAGAAGCAGTGGAACTAGAGGGCTTACGACCCTCATACCATTTAAGAAAATCATTGAAGATGGCAGATTTATCTGATGCCAGGGGAGTAGATGAAGGATGATCCATAGTAGATGAATGTAAGGAAGGATCAGTCTAAGCAACGACAACAAATCGAGGAGGACTACCATGTAAAGCATAACAACTGTCAATTTTGTGGTCCAGCTTGCCACAATGGTCACACTTGTGATGTCCTTTGCCTGGCTTGTGAGAGCAATTGCGATCATCACGTTGAGATGTCATAGCAGAAGAATCATTAGTAAAAACAGGGGGATCATTGAGAGGTTTACATGGCACACGCAGAAGGGAGGAACTCGTAGAAGTAAAATTGGGTGTAACAGGGGAACCCAAAATCTGGTCACGGCCATGGGAATATTTATCAGCAAGTCCGTGTAACATTAAAACCATGAAAAACTTGGACCGTTGCTCTAATTCTTGGGCAGGAGTAGATGCAGGAGGTAATAACTCATTAAATTCATGGAAAAGAACATGTATCTTACCCACAAAATCCGCCACAAGATCCGTATCCCGAGGATCAATAACATCAAAAAGGTTGTAACAAACACCATAAATACGTTGAGTGTCATTGGTGTATAATAATTTGGCTTGTTCCCAAACTTCAGAACATGTGCCATAAGATCGAAAAATTTGTTTCAAAGAAGATTGGATGGTATTCTTGAGAACCATGCATATATGAGCATCAATTTTCTTCCAACGTACAAGATCACCAAAAGCAATATCAGTTACCTTTTGAGTAAGATGATGAACATACCCCTGGCTCTCAAGCCAAAGTTTAATGTCTGACGCCCAAATTGCATAATTCATGCCATCTAACTTATCAATGGGCAAATTCACATTGACATAGTTAGTAAAGATTGACTGGTCAGACCCATTGGATCTGAGAGAAGAAATTTCAGAGTCGGAAGAGACAGCGGAAGATGCCATGGAGGAAGAGAGAAAAAAACCCTAAAACACCGAAGAGGTCCGATTGGAGCAACAAGAACAGATCTAGGAAGAGGGGAACGAGGCGAGTCTGGCGTAGGTGGCGGCGGCCTGAACGGAGGGATGACGTGCCGCCATGCACGACGGCAAGGCCTGATGGTGACGCGACTTTGGGTGGCGCATGAGGGAACGTGGCTGCTCCGATGACGGCGAAACTTCCATCGTGGAGGTCGTGTGGTCGAGACAAGCAAAACCCCGTGCTCGGCGGTCAGAATGGTCATTCCGGCGACGGTGGCGGTGGCTGCGACAGCGACTGTTGCAATGGCAGGGACGAAAAAAAAATTCCCAAAAACCTTAAGCTCTAGATACCATGTTGAATATAGAGAAAAACTGTATAGGATTAATCTCCCTTGTGTATAAACCACACATAGGATAATTTATTTATAATAGAGAGAGGTACAATTAAAAGAGTAACTGGAAGTAAACAGAAGATATTGTTTGATATTGTGGTTAACAATATCTAACAATATCAAACAATATCTAAACAATATTTATCAATTGGAATAGAAATTGCTTAGTCCTAAGAAAGGGAGATACATCTCCCAAAGAAAATATGTGTTTGATCTCCTCAAAGAAACAAGAAAGTTGGATTGTAGAACCTTAGGAGTTCCAATCAAACAGAATGATAGAATTGGAAGTGAAGAAAGTTCTCTGATAGAAAAGGCCCAATTTCGAAGATTGGTAGGGAACTTAATTTATTGATCACACACAAGACCATACATTGCTTATTCAGTGTGGTGATAGCTTATGCATGGCCTGAGACAGAGACACATGCAACCAGTTCAGTACTTGAAGTCAAGCCCAGGAAAGGGACTGCTGTTCAGAAAAGAAGACACTTTGACCCTGAAGATATATATTGATATTGATTATTCAGGTTTTATCACTAACAGAAAATCTACATTTGGGTACTGTATGATTCTTGGAGAAAGTTTGGTAACTTTGTAGAACCAGAAAACAGCATAGAGTATCTCGTTCTAGTATAGAACTGAATTTCAAGGCCTTGCTCAAGGTATTTGTGAAGGACTCTGAGAGAAAATCATTCTTGATGACCTTAAAATCAAGGTAGATAACCCTATGCAATTTGACTGTGACAAGTGGCCATTATCATTGCTAATAATCCCATACAAGATGGTAAGACCAAACATATTGAAATTGACAAATACTTCATCAAAGATAATATAGATAGAGGTCTTAAGGTTACAATTCATATTCCTAAAGGATTACAGATAGCAGACATTTTCATTAAGGGACTTCCTCTGGGAAAATTTCAAGATCTTGTAGGCATGTTGGGAATAATCAATATTCATTTACCAACTTAAGGGAAAGTGTGGTAGATAGCAGTTTATTAAGATAAAAAATATTTAAAGGATCTCCATATTGATTAAGATGAAATATCTGTAGAATCTTCTTGTTCATTTTAGTATATTTATTCTTTATTTCCTTATTTTACAGAAATTAACTGTTACAAATAGAGGAGCTGAGAATGTAATTGATGTGATTGTTTCCACAAAATTCTTATTTGTTTCCCAGCATAGTTCAAGCGAATTCATCACATGCTTTCTCGTTTTCTCTCCTTTCAACAAGTCTAAATACCAAATTTTAGCATTCTATCATATATATAAGGAATTAAAAAGGAAACCAGAAGATCCTGAGTCAATAAGCATACTTGCATTAACCAGACAGCATCCTTGTCCCCTTCGGAAATCCCTTTATATACTGCACCTCCCAGAGTCAATATATACTCTGGATCATTGGTAGGCGGGCGGTTTTCATTAAATGTGTCACTGCAGTTAAAAATATAGTATGTATGTTGGCAATCAAGAGAATAAAAAGAACTCTCCAGCCACTTAGAACATTGCATGTGTGTGGTTAAGTCTAATTAAAACATGCCAACTCCTTTGTGACAGCACATGTCAAAAAAGAGAAAATCCTAATTAGAAAAAAAGGAGCAATAGATTGTTATGATAGATCATCAACTTGTAACCAAACTGTCCAAGAGAAAAAAATAATGTTGAGTATGGAGGATAAGTGAGTCTACCAGTTGTAAATGTCCGTTACATCCCCATATTCTGTAAAATTAATAAAAAAAATGTCAGAATTGAGGTCGATAGTGTGAAGGAGAAAATGAGGGGGAAAAGCACAGAACATTATAGTCATCACCCAAAGACTAGCCATTTTGTAGCAAACTCGTTAACCTTAAAAATTATAAACAAGAAAAGAAAGTGATAGATCCTAGTATGTACACTAGTAGAAAGGAAACGAAGTAGAGCAGTGTTCTAATTATAGGAATACAAGTAGAGTAGTAGAGGTAAGATTGAAAACAAAACAAAAACTCACAACTCTTATACTATCCCTTAAGATCTAAGCCTCTTAGAATTTCTTCCACGGATTCAATACTCCTTCACCCCCTCCCTCAACCATACTCACAAACCTTTCCACGCTTACCTCACCCACATCTGCCACCCGTCAGTTGCCTTAGACTCCTTCCTTTCCCCTTGATTGATTTCAACACATTTCCATGACTGCCCCTTCCTTTCCCCGCTCTCCTTTTTCTGGTAAACAACACCAACTGGAGGCTCATCATTCTCAAAAATCCTAGTAAAAGTAGTGCCCATTAATACCCCCTGTCTCACCTTATCCACAAAGTGTGCTATAAATAGAAGATATTCTAGGGGATCCAAAATATCTTGTTTCACTTTTACCTTTTTTTACAGTTTTCTTATTTCCGTTTTAGCAACAACTGTTCCTTATTTTCTATTGTTTGTAAAAGGATTCATGTTCAACTTTACACTTAATTGCATCCATAAAAGAATGTTATATGTAAAGCAATTCACACAATAGTTTATACAACAATATTTTCTTGTGTCTATCTCTCTCACATACATTTATTTATTGTCATAATGACGGAGAACATTATTTATTATATGCCATAATGATAAACAAAACATAAGAGAACTCTTTGTTACATTAATACAGATGGATAAAAAATTATGTTGCATAAATTGTTTTACATGTATCATATCTCAACAAAATGTTCATCAAATTTAGGATACCTCTTGCATGGTATTATGTGTTGTCAAAACAAGATTTAACTTTAAGAATTTCATATTCATTCCAAAATGAATGCATTCGAAGTTTAAAAATTACAAAATTCTCATGTTCCCAATGTCTCTAATCAAAACCTTTGAGCAATTAGGCTTTTGTTGAGGTTATAGTTCTATTGGAGTATGAGGACACACAGAATGCCAGAAATGAGATGCATAGCCACATAAGAAAAAGGGGGAAAAGAAAAAGAGAAATTAATCACACCTTTAATTTGTTTTTTTATAAAAGCCTTCCCTATTTCAATAAATAAAGGATCAGAGGGATCAAGAAGGTAAGTACAGCACCAGCGAGGATCACTGTCAACAGTGTTCCTGGAAGACAATAATGAAATTCCTCCAATGGTAAATACATGGTAGACATGAAACTTTTAAACTCAAAAACTTCCTTGTGAGCAACAAATAAAAAACAAACCAATTACTAAAAAATGAATTATACAATTTGTAAGAATAATGTGTACTTCGTCTATCATATTGTCAAATAATTGCATGTACTTTTACTTTAAATATAGACTTCAATTAGGAATTCTAGAAGGTTTAGGTAGGTAAGATCAAGATCAAACTATTCATATATGATTGATTTTAATCTATTCTAAAGATCTTAGGTACTTATTAGGGATCAAAAGAATGTGAGGTGGGAACAAGTAGCAGCTACCCCCGACTAGATGAAAAATTCGCCCATAACCATCTCATTACCTATTAGGTACTCATCTTTTTATACCAAGGAATATTTTTATATCCATGGATATCTCCCAAAATTTAAAAAATAAATAATCAAATCATTTTAAGCATTTTTTCCATCACTTTTCTCTCATAATATAAATGTATAAGATTATTCTTTTGCAAAAAGAAAATTATTCAAATTTTCTTCTGTAAGTGCACACCTAATCAATTTCAACACACTTGTTTGGAATTCTTCACCTACTAGCTCATGCAATGGATGCAGCGAAAATTAACAGAAAAAAATGATTGAAAAATGAGAGCATGTAAAAGAGAACTGAAATACCAGTCACCAAGTCTAGTTATTTTTGCCGAAGGGAATATCTTTGTCAAAGCAGCTGGAACATTCCCAGAGAAAGATGGAAGCACTAGAACAAAGTCAATGTTAAATCAGAGCGCTAAATTTAGAGAATGTAGACAACTTTTTGAGACAGCAAAACCATTTTCCCCTCAGTGGATCTGGATGCCTTGGTGAAAATCACCAAACCACACTCATATACATGTGTTGATATTAAAAAGAATGAAACTCAGAACAAATGTTCAGGTTTTATGGTGAAAGTATATACCTGGTGTCATCCCCAGCTCTAACATTCGAGAGATTATCTGTTTCTGTAACACCAATTGTTGATCTAACCAATTTTGAGATAATGGCCCACCCCAGCTGTGAAATGATAGATCTCATTAGAAACCAAAGTACATTCAGTTCAAAGTGTTATTATACAATCTAATCCCAATTCCAAAAGTTAACTGATCAGATTGAGTAGTTTTGTTTGTTTTTTTTTTAGCAGTTTGATCATTTAGGTCTGTTTCCTTATTTTTGTTTAGTCATCTTTTCAATAAAAGAGATCAGGAATTAAACTGATTTTTTTTCATTAGTTTTGGATGTTTAAAGCTAAAATAAAAGAAAAACAGTGGCAGGCTCATTGTTATGTTCTTTCCTACTGTTCTCTTACTATCCAATTTGATCCACAATTTGCTGTTCATTTAGCATACTGATGCAGATATGAACTGCTTCAATTATTTCTTCTCCAAGAGTTGTGAAATTCAAGATCTGGAATCAACTAAGATGATTGGCAATGATAAGAAATGTGCAAAGCAGTATATCCTTACAGTTCTCACAACCCTGAATAACAAGCTCAGGTCGCAAGAATCACTTGCAGTTATTTCAGCTCCATGTGATACCAAAGTTTAAACTTTCGTCACAGTATAGGCTAGGTCATCCAAATTTCCCAATACCTAAAAAGGATGTTTCCTATTTGAAAATCAACAATAGTAGTAGCACACAATATACAACTTCATTTCTAATGATTTTTAGAATGTGGGTTTTAAGCCTAACTCAATCCACAAAACCAACTTGTAAGGTGAGGGTTGCATACAATTATCTACATTATTTTAGTCATATCTCAAGATGACGTGAAACCTCCAAGATTTTTGTAGGTGGTCCAATTGCAAGTGGCTCAATTCGTCTAACAAACTTTGCTAGGATTGACTCTAGTACTATCTTAAAATGTAAGTTTTAGACCTAACTCAACTCACCAAACCAGCTTTGTAAGTTGAGATATGCACCAACTTATATACATTATTTTAGTCATATCTCTCAACAATGTAGAATCTGCAACAAAGATTATTCATCTCTTGGGTATTGGGTGTTGGGTATTAGTCATATTAGAAGAAAGCATTTCTCAATGGTGACACACATCCAGTAGAAGTCTACCTAGACAATCAAATCACACCTAAAACGCAACAGAAACAAGTTCTGCAAACTTCAAGTGATTTTGAAACTGTACCAAACAATAAATTCTTTTCATGTTTCTCTAACCATAACAATTTTCTTAATATTTTCCAATGTACAAAACATTCAGCATGGGCACCCTCCTTTATACAGTATGAAATATGAATGGAAAATGCACATGAAACTCAAAACAACTTAATTTGCCAGACAATTTCCTATGTTTTCTATACAGATTGAAAACCAACAATGGGGTTCACATACTGCTTTCACCTACCCATGTAAATTTCCCATGCGAGCCCAAGCAAGGAAAGCAGGTCCACCAAAGAAATTATTCAAGCCGTCTGAAGTAATGTTAAAATCCTACAATTAGAAGATACTAGTTATATAGTTACTGAAAGAGGTCAAAATATTAAATAGTTATTCTTATGAGTATAAATGATATCAACAAGAATCAAGCAATGGATCTAAATTTTTGTAGGCGACCAGGTATAGATTCTCATAATTACAGTGCTAAGAGTCATGTATCTCAATGTCACCATGTTTTCCGACACTGACTTCATAAAATTCCTATATGTTATATATAGCATGTATACTTCTCCCGTTAATAACAACAACAACAATAATTAAAGTAAGAAAAACATTGATAGTAAAGGATGAAAAAAGTCCAAGAGCAGGGGGAACACAAAGAAGGTAAGAGCACCACTTTACCCTAGACATGTGATGTTGATAAGCATTGCTCTTGAAACTTCTAGCATTTTATCAAATAGTATTTACGGAACTGATTTTAGCTAGGCCTCTTAAAAAGTCTGGGTTATCAGTATTTTTCTTTTATGTTTGGTTTAAAGTAAGCGAAAAGAGTTTCTACTATTATCTGCACAGACTTACCCAGTACATAAGGTGCAGAATTTCATTTTAACACCGTATTATTCATCTATTTCTGGTCCAGTTTTATTATTTTCAACAACATATGCTTAAGCACATATAGCATAGTCAATCACAGTAACAAACCCAAATGAAAACAAGCTACAAACTATACTTGATGCAATGCAGCAAAAGTTAGAATGAGAGGTTGAGAAAGAAAGCAACAAAAGTAAAATAATGGAAAAAAAACTTGCATTTTGAAAAAGTGATATCACTAATAATAAGAATGAAACTCTGAATTTCTAATACCATACATAACATATAGCTGGTTGCAAAAATAATATAATGAGTAAATAATATCTGATAGGGAAAAAAGCTTTATGTAGCAGCCCAATCTTTGGCTTGTTAATACCTCAAACTAATGAATTCATTTTTCTTTAACCGAGCTTTATCCAGATATACACAAGCATGTCAATAGCACATCACCTTAAAAACCTTTTGCCAAATTGTTTCCTGCCCAGTAAATGCCAAGGGCAGGTTCACCCCCTGAAGTGCCATCCAGTCAACCTCTTTTTCCCACCTTTCCCAGTCCCACCAAACATATGAATCTGCAAAGAACCAAGAGGAATATTCAGCTGATGATCTTTGCCTGTACAGGCACCTTCCCCCTTACCCTTGTGAGGAAATCATATCAACTGAAAATCCAATATTTGCTACACATGAAACCAACTCATCCAACTTAATAGTCCTACATTTACCAATGGAAGAAAATATAGGATGGTTATTTAAATGACTAAGGGAAACAAATCTAACAAGACTTCAGAACTTTTTTCTGAATTTTATCATTTTTCTTTAGAAAAAATGAGTTGGGCTACCTATCTGATCCTGAGAATGTATCGAATCTGTTTTTTGCAAGCATTGGAGTATACTTTACTTTCTTGTACAGAAGTTGATGGTCTTTTTCAATCAACCAACTGACAGTTAGTCAGTTAGTTAGATCTTGAGATACAAATACTGCTCTAATTCAGTTGTACGTGGGTTGAATTCATTTTCACACGATAACAAAAATTCTTTTCCTCCTCTCTCTCTCTCTTTCTCAAATTTCAATAGCAAGTTATTTGCCTTTCTAAATCAAACGTTGCACTTATTTAGTTGGAAATTTTCCACTTACAAACAGTAATTAATTCAAATTCTCAGTATGGAAAAATGATAGAGAACTTTCTTGTTCCTCAGAAAATTGATTTTGATTACTCACAACTAGAGGTAACAACATTTTGGTAATAATTCCATGGAACTGGTCGTTTAATCTTCAGACCCTCATCTTTTAAACGGGGTAGTGACCCTGGCTCAGGGATTGAAGTTGTCTGAACGCCACCTGTCTTATCCCAGGAGACATGAGCACCGCACCAATACTTAAGATACCAATGGAGACCAGATGCAATCTCAACAGCAGTGGTTCCACTAATGCTGAAAAATATACAAATACATAACAGTGTCAGATTAATATTAAAGGACAAAGCAAAACAGATTAAGTGCTCATATCAATGAGCAGATGATTTCAATGCAAGAGTTTTTACCAGAGGTAGAACAAATCAAGAAGAACATTAGTATTGTATACTTGAAAATCAAGTTAAATCAATGCGAAAGAAGAATCAAATCAAGTCGCAACTTGCAAATAAAAGAAATCCAACCATCCCATACTCTTAAAAAAACTTGGAACTCAGGAGGAACAAAAAACAAAATTAATCAATCATAATTTTCAGCATAAATTTCCCCCTCACATACACAATCTCAGGCTCATTCTGACTTGACTTCTTGTGATTGTTTATTAGAAAACAACTGTCTCCGCCACAGACATCCTGAAAATAGTAAAAGTCTCTTTACACTCAATCATAAAAAAATAAATAAATAAAGACCAAATGCAGATTCTAACGACTTTCTAACAAACCAGTTCAGTAAAACCAACCGATATACAAGTGAGAAAGGAAAAGGGCAAAGACCTTGGACACTATTTTGAACTGAAAACTGGACAAATGGGTTGGAAGCAGTCTTTTGAGAAGACCAACGGCTGCAGCTTCTTGCACCGATGGAGGTGCCCTTTTGGAATCCAGACGCCGAAGCAAAGGCTCTATACCATCATACTTAGACAGTGCCGTCGGCAGTGAAGGGATGAGAATCAAACTCAGAAACACAAATCCCAACCTCAACATTGTTCTCTTCTTCCCAAAAAGACGAAGGAGACTCTGTATTGATGCCTATGCCATGAATTTTTACCTGTGCTTTCTGTTCTAGTCAGACACCCAAATGGCCACTACGTTGACTCTCGTCTGTTGGTAGTATCGACACGAACACATGTATATGACAAAATTAATGTAATTAAACAATGAAATATAACTGCATTATATTTTACGATAAGGATAAGGATAAAATATATTTTATTTTATTGTCAATTTTTTTCTTTTACATAAACTTGTCATCTCGATGTATTTTAATTAAGAAAATAATAGGTTAAGTTGAATATGATAAAATTATATTGTAACAAAAAATTAAATCATAATAATAATTAAAATGTTAAAAATTATTTTTTATTTAAATATTTTTAAAAAATATTTAAATCATATTGTAAATTTTACAAAACTTATACAATCTATTTGTAATTTTTCTAAAAAGTTTACTATATAAATATAAAATAAAATTGTATAGTTTTTTTTATTAATATTAATTTATATGATAATATATATCATAATTTTTTATTTACACATATTTCCTTAAATGTATTTTGTTCCACTCTTAATATTTAAAGATATTTATTTAATTAATTAAAAATTGGAAGTCAGTTTTTTAATAAAATAAAAATAAATTTAATCATAACCTACATTCACACATTATATATATATATATATATATATATATATATATAATAAAAGTATATAATAATTAAAAAATACATTTATTTACATTTATAATAAAAATATATAAATAACTGTTATATATTTTCATCCAATATCAATAATTTTATATTAGAATAAGAAATTTTTAAATTTAATGTTATTCAAAAATAATAAAAAGTACAGTTATTTATAATCATCATAGAAATATCATATATAAGTTTCTTTTTTCTTGACATGTTAAATCAATCTTTTACTCATACCACAAATAAAGTTGAATAAATTTATCACGTAATATCAAATAATGGGATATAGGATTAATCTAAAATTTAAGACTTAATCTTAGTGTATCAAACTTATAGATTAATCCTCAAATGTATTATAAATATCAAAAGTTATCGGAGAATTAATTAGATAATTGAATGTCTTTATGAAAAATATAGATATAAGTATATTTATTATTTTTAAAAATATTCATCATCTTTTAATTTTGAAAATAATTTAGTTAGATTAAGATGGGTTAAATTGATTTATATTAAAAAAAATTATGTCATATCAATACAAGATAAGATAATCTAGGTCAAGGATCAGATTAGAATATTCTCATTAGAATAAGTTAATTTAAGATCTAGACTGATGAACATTTGAATATTTATTTAGGTCACGTGGATTTAAATCAAATCATTTGAATAAGTCGATCTACATTAAAATAAAAATATAAAATAAAGATGTTTTGACATGATCGCAAAAAATGATAAAAAAGACATTATATATATATATATATGAAAAATTTTTAATTTTTACTTGAATTTTCTAATTTTAAATAATTAAATTATTATTTTATTCTATTTGGATGAAATTTTTTTTTAATAAATCTTTTATAGAGAATTTGAAATATTTTATAACAAAAATATGTTGTGATTGGTAACAAAATTAAACCTAATTTGTTTATTTAAAGTTAAATAAATTAAAATTTTAACTAAAATATAAGAATTTATAATTTTGTATATGTTACTATCTTTCAAATATACGTTTTTTCCTTTTATATTTCTTCTATGTTTGGTTTTAACTAAAATATCATTAGCTGTTTAATTTTGGTGGAGATGTTATTTGCTAAGCTAAGATCGGGATTATGTCAATTCAATAAATATATATTTTTCTTATAAATGTAAAGATGAAAATTTACAATTTATTTATTATTTAATAATATTAAGACTTTGTTACAACTTTTTTATTATTTTATTAATATTTATTTATTATTTAATAATATTTTCACTTTATTCTTTAAACGAAGAGAACATGGAAAGCATCACTTATGATAGATTTTTTTTTCTCTTTTTCTTATATTATATCTCCTGTAAACCTTACCACTCTTCTCTTTTAATTTTTCTCTGTCTAAGACATTTTAGGTGTACATCAAATTTTTTTATTTTTTATTTTTCCAGAAGACATTGTTTTTAAAGACACTTCTCAACAAACTTGTGAAAGATAATAATCTTCTAAAATATTCCCAGGAGAAACATAAAGCAAGATAAAACATCACAGACTCACTTATTTGTCCCTAATATCTTTGTGTCCAAAGCCTTTTCCTAGAAAAATCCCTCTCAATACACTAGTCTGTAACAGTGGAACCAAGCAACAGTAGCAGAAGGAAAGAAAGTCACAATAGAATCAAGAAAACGTCTCTGTATTCATATTATTTTCTCTGAAGATATGACCATCAACAGAAAAACTACCATAATAAGTAGTACACACAGAGGCAACAGAAAAGATTGGAGAAGAAAGCAGAAAACAGAAAAGTGTGCTAGTCCCCCTTCCCTCTCCCTTCTAACAAAATTCTATATGCTAGTGCCTGCCCCCACTCAAAATTATGCAACCTAGAATTAGTTATTTTGGGTGTAACACTTTTCCTTCTTCCATCATTTAATGGATCAGCAGCCACATGGTCTTCCCTAGCTGAGCTAGCTAATGTCTCATTTTTCCTTTGTGCCGCAGAGTTGGTAGGGCTGTAGTTTAACCAACACAGTATCACCGACTTCAAAGTCAACATGCTTCCTCTTCACATCAGCATGCCTTTCCATATGATTGATATTGAGCCTTGTGCGGATTCCTCCATAACAATTTAGCCTAATCTTCAGAGGAATCAGAAGTAAAACATTTTAAGTACATCTCCACACATTTATTGAATGTTTCGGATTGTGGATCCAATTGAGAATGATATGTCATACTCATGTTCACTTTGGCGTCGCTCTATTTGAACAAAAATTGTCTAAGAGACTAGAAAAATCCTTGTGCCTATCTGATTCAATAATCTTAAAAAGACCATGAAGCTTCACTATATTTTTCAAAAAAGAAAATGCTACTGTTTCCTAGTGTAACCTATTGTCAGTGTAGAAAAATAGACATATTTTGATAACCTGTCAACAACTGCCATGATGACAGTGTAACCATTAGATGGAGACCATGATTAGATCTTCCCATATATATAATCACGAATTGATAGAGGTTGTAATAGTCCAATAGGCAGTGGTGTATCCTTGACAAACCAAACAAGTGCAAACATAGTCCATTATATCTTTGTATCTATGTGTAGTGTCAAATTATTGACTTCGGTCTAAGTCCGATTTATATAATTGGATTTAAATCTCCACAATTTTTTACTTAAGATTGAGAGGTTATATAATATCTAATTACTAGTCGGTTTAGTTCCAATTCTAATAATCGGTCAGGAGATGATTACTTAAACAGTCTTACGAGGAACGAGAATTACATAATCCAAAAAAATCTCATCCATAATTAAAAACTATTACTGAAAATATCATACCAGGAGAATCAAATATTTAATGTATATAATTATCATGGCCATCCCTATAAGAAGGAAACCCAGAATAAGTTAAGTTAAGAAAGGTTTGTAGATTAGATCAGGTTTTCTACCCTTAATCAAAATTAGTTAAAAGTTTCCAAATATTTTGACTAGAACACTGCCATTTCTACAAATTTGAGAAACTATTCAAGTCAGGGTTCAATTAAAACCAGCAGGGCTACCAACCACTGAACTACGGTACTTAGGCAAGTCAGGGTTCTAATAAAACCAGCAGCGCTACCAACTACTGAACCATGGTACTTAGGCAAAATTTGTTTTGCCGAATCAACTTATGATACGAAGGAATAACCAATCTGCCTTTCTAAAACAGCAATTGATCATGAACTGAATAATTAAGGATAAGGAGGTTGATTCATCAAACACAATTCGACAATGGATTTCAGTTTAGAATCTACAATCAGGAGCAGGCCGTTAAAGTATCAACAGCTACATCTTCCCTCCCCGACTTATATTGAATAGTAAGATCATAGCCTAAAAGATGTAGCCAGTTTTGTTGTTCAAAAGTTTAGACTACCTGATCTGTCAGACTTCTTAGACTTTTCTGGTCTGTTATGATCATAAATTTATGATCTCAGTTGTCCCTCTTATATCCACTCTTGATACATTCTCCTTCCAAAACCTAACAAAAATTGAAACCCCTTCCACCCACCACTTTTCAAAGCTATCTTGTTCTCTCCTTAGGGCTTCTGCCCTCCATTACACTCCACTCGCTCCCAACCTCCCATCAAGGTAGTGTTGGCTGATGTGGTTGGATTGGTGGTTTGAGGCATTTTATGGTTGTCCGTAAGTGGATTTTATGGTATAGGATGAAAGCTTTGATGCCTTGGATTGTCACTAATTTAAGGATAATTTTGCAATTTACTCTTTTAAGAAATATAGTTAGCTATGTATACGGAGAAGGTTTAAATAATGATAGAATAAGACAGGGAATCAGACGAAATTTGATGAAAATTGAGAGAGTGTGAATGTAATTACTCTTTTTCTAAGTATGCAAAAAAAAAATCAACCCGAAAATAATGAAATTTGAATTGCAATAAAAATAACTAATAAAAAAATTAGGATCCATACATATCAGCCGTTATTATGCTTACAATGTAATCTTGCTTCTTTCTGACTATAAAGAACAAAGTAATAGTAAAATTTATACCTATTAGTTAACTAATTCCCTTAAAAAATCAAAACCTAATTATAAGCATCACTAGAAGTAAGGAAACGTTTGCGAACTGCCCCAACACCTTTTGCCCTCCTCACCTTCATATACTTCACTTACTCGTTAATGTACATTACCCATGGCGGCATGGTGGACTTGAATGAGGGCATGATGGACTTGAATCAGTCTCAAGACATGTTTAGATAAAAATTTTGTATAAATATTTTCAAGAGAAAACAGAAATAAAATAATTTTTATTATAAATTAATATTAACTTATGCATAAATATTTTTTTTTAAATTCTTTTAGATTAGTATCTTTGTTAAAATATGATTTCTAGTTTATGCATAAGTTAATTTTGGCTTTTTCTTTTCCATAAAACTGTTAAGGTTAAAATTTATCTAAACAGAAATCTTAAGATGATTCTAATCAAGTATGCATCATCTTGAAGTTGACTCTAGAGTCCCGTAGTTTCACAATATTGCCTCTGGCATCCCAAGCTTGCCACTGAGGTATAATTGTGTAGGAATATCACACTTGTGGATATTTGGGACAGTTTCTGCTTTGGACATTGTTAAAGATCCAGACAATGCTAGCAAGGGCTCTAACAACAGGGTTTGGCTCTCAGTTTTTCTTTCATTTTCCTTCCTCATTTCTTCTAGTAACGCTTTGCTGGTGTCAATACCTGGTGTCAGTTCATGTCAGATCTTCCTTCGAGTTATTGCTATTAGAGTTATCTATCATTAGCAAAAGAAACTTGTAGTGCCTCACCTGAGAGGTATCCACCGTGTACATATCCATTAAATCGTTCACTAGTGTGCTCCCCAGTGAAGAAAATGCGACCTACAGGGGCCTGCAATATATCAAGAGACAAATAACATAAGGGACAAAATAGTTTATTTAATTTTCCTTCATCTCTAATTTTGTAGATGAATAGCAAACTCGCAGAATCGTAAAAGAAAGGGAACAAATTAAAAAGCCTAACAGAACAAAAAACAGCTCAGTATCTCTACCCTACAAGGGAAAAATCACCGTCTATGATGTTCGAAATTTCAAATGAGCAGGATACCACAAAACAAAATAACATCAACTTCATGTTTCACAAATAGAAAATTCAAAATAAAAATAAAAAAATCATTAAAATATGTCATTAATGTGTTTTCACTGCGATTTCCGATGCATTATCGGTTTAAATTTATTCTATTTAAAATTTATTAATCAATACCTTCAGAAAAAATGGTTAGTAAATGTGCTAAGAAATGAAATTTAGGTGTATAATAATATTAATAATAATAATAATAATAATAATAATAATAATAAACAAATAAAATTATTTATTTTACTCGTTTCATTCTATTCAAACAACATCATATTCATTCCTTTCTTGACCTCTTTTGTTTTTTCTTCCTTTCCCACAATTTCTTTCTTCTTTATTAAACCGAGGATAAAAGTTGAACATGAAAAGCAAACCTTAATATTATGAAAAACTTTATGATTAGAAATGATGGGGTAGTTGCTGTAGCTGCCACGCTGAAACCTGTTATTCCACCAGCGAGGAACTAGTATATCAATGGCATCGGGGACGTTGGATCCAAACATATCCCTTAGCACTGCCATAGCTTCTCTCAAGGTCTCTTCATCAGGTTGAGCTTCCACACGTTTCGATTCCCCATTAGTCAATGTCACGACTAAGATATTGGAACCAGGATAGGCGTTCTCCATGTGCTGGTCACAAATCAGCAAATTAGCGTATACACTAAAAAGATTTGGATGAATGAACTTACAAACTAGACAAAAATTCTGATTCAGAATGACATATGGACAGGTAAGCAAAGAGACCGCAAAATTCAATCTCCCAAGGTCATTTCAAAAATATTCTGATCATGACTTAAATTATTTTTACTTTTCATAGAAGTTCAGATCCAAAATCATTGCATCATTACTAGTAATGACAAGTATAGAATTGATATCGTGTACTAAAATTCAATAGTGTCCAGATCTTCCGTGGTATAATTCAATTTTTGCTATTATAATACTATTATATAGTTTGAAATATTTAATGTTAGATAATATTCTAAATGAAAAAGAAACCAATCATAGCCAGTGTAGTTCCCAATACGAAACTCAAACAGATGACTCCAAGGGAATACCACCAACATTACAAACATCCGTAGAAGATAATGAGCCATTTAATATTATTTTATAACAGCAATAAAGGAAAGATATTAATTAATCTCTATGTTCTGCGTGAGAACATATAATTAATATGACCGTATAAGACAAACAGAAATAGCTGAAACAAAAGTATTTATTATCATAAGCACACAATGAAGGTCAAAATTACAACTCAAAGTAAAAATAAATAAATATACACTTAAGCCACCTTGCGTAAATCATGGGAGGGAGAATATAAGCAAAACTAGTTTTACATATCAAACAAAATATTCATTCTTTTTATCATTTAAGCCTATTATGTTGAATTACGACAAAAGTAATAGATGGAGACAAAAGTAATAGATGGAGACAAAAGTAATAGATGGAGTTGAAAGCTAATTTCAAATAAACTCGTTATGAAGTTCAACTGGAGCTTTCCAATGAGCTTCCTACTGAGATTGATGAAATCCAGAGCACTTCTATACAAAATCTTTGATTTCACAGGACGTGAGGATGGACATTTTACAGGGGATAAAAACAAAAGAAATAATTTTGTATGCTTAATAACAAGTATGATAACATACTTTAAGTTATTTTTACGTAAATAGAGAATAGAGATAAACCACAAGTTTAGTTGACACCTAGAGTTTAAGATCAACCATGTGACCCACATGCACAGCACATAAATTATAACAATAAGGTATTATTTAAATCCTCAGGATGCCGATCTCTCTTTATTTTATTTAGTTTGTACTCCTTACATGATATAAAAACAAGATATGTATGCTCAGCCTGGTCCCTAAGGTTAGGTAAGTGCCAGTAGTTTCACGGGAAATAAATTTGACTGCAGATTCTAATTGTATTTGTAATTCAGATAATAAATAATTTCCCACAAAACTTGACTTATGATAAAGTTGGTTCTCTGTTTATCCTAATTAGTAGATGGAAAACCACTACAAGCTTTGTCAAGAATAGAAACAAAACAGAAACAGAGAGCAAAAGAGACAACTAAATAGAAACATCAGGGAAAATGAATTGACAACCATTAAATAAAAATTAAAAAAAAAAAAAAAACCTGCCAAAATGTGTAGTAGCCTCTCCGCTCATGAGCATAGATGAAGAATTCCTTTTCGGGTCCACTTGGCCAGAACTTATACGGAAACTTCAGAAAGATTTTAGTGTACACCATCACATCACATTTCTCGATGGCTTCCAATTTCCATCTCTGTTTCATTATTTTATTCACCATGGACATATTGTATCAGACAAGATTTAGTTCAAGAAGACAAAATTTATAAACTAATAAAAACAACAGCGAGGGGATGTTTAGACGACTAAAGCCCACCTGAGTAGTATACGGAAAAGGCGAAGTACCTCAATGATAGTTTCCCTTAATTTAATTTGATGACCTCACATCACTGATAATTATATCTACACAACTTGATCAAGTACAATACGTGTTCACATGCATATATTTTCAACATTTAAATTTACAAAATATTGAGTCCTTCAGACATCACCAACTCTGACAAGTTAAAGTTTTGTATATTATAAGATAGATATAGAGCTCTCAGAAGTTGTAATATACATATATTTTCACAACTTTGTGTTGAAATTGGGGAAGATTATAGTAATACAGAATCGCCCAGGTAAAGACTCGGTCTAGCTGTACAACACATAAGATGCTCATAGGTTTATAGACTTGAGAGGTTTAGCTTAGACTACAATTTTCTAGTATACAGTGCATTAGTCCACCCATAGACTTCTAAAATTCATATGATACGCAACAAAGTTAAAATCCACCAACGTTTTCTATGGTATCACCTACCCCACTCAGTTAACTTTAAGCCTTTGCTTTCCATTTTAAAAGTAAAAGCTCTATTCAGGCAGGTTACAGCTAACTGTTCCACATAGCCACATTATTCACGCTAATTAACTCTAGTTTCAATATTTTTTTTTATATAATTTGAAAGCAATAATTTACCAACCACTGAAAGATTAAGTAATCATCTTTCTAAAGACAACACAAGGCTGCGACCTATTTGAATTCACAACTACATATGCTAGTTGGCGTTCTCTTTCCACGTGTTGACCTAACCAAGAGGGTTAACAGACCACCAACACCAGACTGTGGATCATTGATACCGTGGATCATGCGATCACTGGTTTCTTCATACTAAGACACCTCGAAAAACATCTTCTGCCGTCATCAACAAGAGAGCTCAATTTAAAACGAAACTAGCTATCTCTATATTTTTTTACATGCCCAACCAATGAAATTTAAGACTACCATAACCTGTTAACAGAAGGGAAACTACTACTACTGTAGGGACCCGTATAGACAGAACCACACCCTTAGAAAGACTCCGTTTCCACCATTTTGGTAGCAAGTAAATGCGTTATTATATTAATAGAATGGCATTGATTCTGAAATAAATGCCCTTAGAAGGATCAATGTGAAATGCACAACACGTCCATATATTTTAGGACCAATTACTAAGTTCCACATCATCCTACATTATATATTTACTATAGTAGTATAATATACTAGAACACAACTACTGTTTAGATATAAGTTGAAAGTCTTTTTGAGAGTTTTTTAAACTAAAATATAGTCTTCCATTAGAAAAGCTTTAAAAGCCCTTTAAAAATATTTCTAGTTTTATATAGGAATGCTTGATGACCCGGGGCTCGTAGGAGTGGAGGCAAAAGAAAGAAGAATAGTAAAATAAAAAGAGTAGACGTACGGGTAAGGGTGGATTGAAGGCGAGTAGGTCGCTTTGTAGAACACCAATGCTGACAGACAGAATCACGTAATTGGCTTCGTAAACGCAACCATCCTCCGTTTTCACCGTGACGCCACTTTTTGAATACTGCAATTCCCGAACAACCTGTAATAAATTTATGACAAAAAAAAATCCTGTTCAGCTTAAAATTCCTCATGTTAGTCAACTCCTATCTCGCAGTAAGTCAAAAGGACCATGACCCACAAAAATCTTACGCAGTCAAAGGGAAAAAAAGTATTGGAGTAGTAAAATTTGAAGTCCAGAAAACAATAAAATCTCATGAGAATCTGAGCAGTCCTGCCCTGAAATCAACTAATAAATTCAAGGAATATTTATTACAAAGGAATCTAGGCAGACTTGGAGCACGGACCGAGTCGCTGATAAGTTATGGAGATTTAAATAATTTACCCAGAACTGCAATAGTCTTACGTGAGGTCCATTAGTTTCTGATCTTTTCGGCGAATGAGGTATTGCCTAATAAATGGGGATATTGACAAGACTCCCTTCTTTTGTGTTATTATATTTTGAGATGACACATCACCTTGGGTTATTCCGATTGGGTCAATTCAAATAGTGTGGCTGGTAACAGAAATTGGAATTCCGGGGCCAACTAATTTATGAGATGCAAAAAACCTTTAAAAGGATTGAAACAGAAGTGGCATTATTTGTGGGTCAAACTTTCCCTGTAAGTGGAGCTCTCAAAAGGTTTTAGCATGTTGATGTAATTAAAAAAAGGGTAACGATACTTGTACATCCTTTATTTTAGAACATTTAATAATATTTATAGTTTCTCTTTATTTCTTAATTCCTATTATGTCATGTATAATATCTATATTTTTTTCGTCTAAATGGGTGTTACCTAATATTTGAGATTTTCATCCATCATTTTCTTAATATATATATACAGCAATGATCAAATACAACCTGCCTAGCGTGTGTTCGAAAAGCAAATAATGACATGAGATTTTTCACATAAAAAACAACAAAAAATCCTGTAGAACAACCCAACTGCTTGTCTACCAAGGGTTCAAAACTGAACAATGCATACATGAAAGAAGTAATTTCTGCAATGATTTATATTCTGTTTCCACAACAATGGCACATGCATGTTAATTTTATTGAAGGATATTTTTTTCCCAAAACCAACTTCATATTATTTCAAAAAGCTATTTTTTACCCTTATTTACATTTTCTTTTACAAAACATACACCTTAATTCAACATCAGGTAGGAGTCCACTTTTTTTTTTTTAATTGTATATTTTGATCGCATAATATATCATTCCATAATGTAAATTTAAGTATTGAATATGTCCCGAAAAAACTTTTTGAGGGTTGAATATTTTAACTGAAAATGTCATAAAAAATTAATCAGGATAAATATAAAAAAATGATGGAAAGCTAAGCAATGATCAACGTAGGGTAATTAACCCTTTTTAGGTTAGTGAGTGATGAAAAATAATTATATCCCTAGTTTGAACTTCCGAGATTCATTGGAGACATAGATATGGTATTTAAAAGAACTTTATTTACAAAAGGCAATGCTATGTTTCTACTTTCGATATCTTTCCAACTCTTGTATTATTTATATTACGTACAAGATTTCCTTATCACAATATTTTTGTAAAGAATTTTTTGCCATGTACTTGACAATTGACTGACTTTAAATGATTTTTTTATTTTATAATCTAAAACACACTTTAACCCACCAAAAAATCCAATAGTCGAATGACAAAAAGGGGTTTTGCCCAATAATATGGCGCCTGAAAGTTAATGGCATGGCTTTTTTTATGATTAAAAACAGAAAGACATTGTATAGTACTACAAATCACATTCACATTATTTTAATTTTCCTTCTAAACAATAAAAGGCTTCATAATTATACTAACATAAACATATAATATAGTTCTACAATTAAATATTTCGATATGAAATTAGCAGCTTTAGCGTTCATATTAGACTTTATTATATGATTTAGAAACCCTGTCGGAGCTTAATTAAATCAATTAATAATTTACGTTTCAATTATAAAGTAGTCAAAAGCTTCCCGAAAAAAGTTGTGGGAGTTGACACCAGAAGAAGGGGGCAGGAGATGAGTGACAGAAATATCGCAAATACACATGCAAAAAACAAAGGCTAAACAGTTCTGAGAAGTCATTATCTGCAAACTCCACAAGTGGGATAATAGAGCTTAAATAACAGACAACGAAACACAATAACAAAAGGGGAAAAAAACACAAGGCAGGGAAGCAAACAAATCCAGATTTTCACCAGGAAATGTAATTGTTAAGCAAGCAGACAAACCAATAGCGTTTTGCCAGGTAAGGGGCGACGGAGAAGTCTTCAAATAATTCTCACAGAAAAACGGCTTAATTATGTAAACTATGAAGTGTTGTATCGTACCTTGTTGAGTTTGAGACGATTGTCCAAGATTCTACCCTCCGATGTGAAGAGAAATTCTTCGGCCATTTTGTACAGCAAATAATCGTACCCTCTTTCGTCCGCAACCAAAAATTCTCTCTCTCCAAAGTCTACATAGGTGGATATTGGTTCTACCTCTGTGCATCCCAAATTTCCCAGTTTCAGAGCACAGTCCATAACGTAACAAATAAACAAACAAAAATAGTTTCGGAGCACAGTCCACAACGTAACAAATACACGTATTGAAGCAGTTTCGGAATCCACAAACAGTATTTCCTTTTTCGTGTGCGACAACGAATTTGAATAACTACAATTTTTTTCATTGGTTTTACGGAGGAAGCAAATCAACGGTGAAAAACTGAACGGATCGTACCAGCCATTTCGAAATCATGCAGGATGAAATCAATGGCGAGCTCTACTGGCGTCTCCGGCGTCCTAAAAGGGGAAGCGTAAAAAATAGCATGAGCAACAAAAAAGGAAAAAAAAAAAACAGAACTAAAACAATTCAAAAGGAAATAATTGAAGGCATGATTGATTATATATATAACAACACATTCGCAAAATGACTTTTGCGGCTGAAAACGACGCGCAGGAATTTGCACTTACGAAGGCCGTTTCGTTTCGTTATTATTACTATTATCATTATGGTCATCACCATGACCATGGCCATCATTTGCTTCTTCTTCTTCTTCCTGGTTCCTCAACTTCTGAATCGCTGAGTCCACCGCCTTTTTGTATGAGTCAGCAGCGATTCCACTCGGAATGATGTTCCCGCTGCAACAAACAACTCAACACAACGATTTAGCAAGAGCAAAACAGAGGACGCAGTGCAAACGACGTCAGTACGCGGGAGATGAATGAACCTGCGGTCGTAGATATTGTAGCGCGCATTGCTATAGTCGGAGAAGCATGTGCGGAGGCCGAATTGGGTGGCGAGTTCCCAAACAGGGTTAGACAGCGGCCCGCCAACGCCCGCGATCCAACCGGCGCCGAGCTCCACCGACACACCCCCGAAACGCTCCTTGCGGATCCTACCGCCGACGCGGTCCGACGCCTCCAGAATCACGACGTCCTCCACGCCGCTCTCGGCCAACACCTTCGCCGCAGCGATACCTTCAAATCAAAGCAAACACAATGAGATTCCCGAACAGTGAGTTGAGGAACCGAGTCCGTCGCGGAAGAATAATGAGGCGGAAGGAACTCACCGGAGATGCCGGCACCGACGATGATGACGGAGGAGCGAGAGGGAGAATCCATCATCGCGATAAATGGGTTCGGTTGGTTTCACACAGAGAGAGAAAGGGAGTACACTGTTTGTGATTGCGTTTTTGTTCTTGTTCTGTGACACGAACTGAAGAATTATAGCGGGAGTCGGTTTATATAGGTTTTTTATTTTTGCGCTTTTTTTGCTTTTCCTAACACGCTGTTAATTGTTGCTTCTGCTTTCTACTAATATGCATAACTCACTCGTTTAAAACAACGTTTTGCATTCCAATCTAGTCTAACGATCCGTGCTCCCTAGCCAACGCGTTTTTGGACTCAACACATCATGCCGTGGAAGTTGCCAACTAACTACCTTAACTTTTTTGCCACAACCTTTATTTTTAAAAGAATAATAAATAACAAAATCAAATTCATTTTTCACAAATTTAACATTGCCTATATCTCATTTTAATCACCTTCAATTTATTATTTATATTATTTATTTTTAAATAATTAAAATATTATTATTTTTATTATATCAAACTAGTTTAATTAAATATATTGCTTTTATCTTCACCGATCCAAATCTCTCAAATTTTGGTGGATGTAAGAGTTTTTCTCCATTATCTTCCTCTTCCCATTATTCAACATGTTAAGTATATATATATATATATATATATATATATATATATATATATATATATATATATATATATATATATATATATATATATATATATATATTTTTAACATGCTATACAAAATTATAGAAATATTTTGTTTCACGTGTACATTGAGGAATGTTTTATTTTTTATTGTACAATATAAAAAAATATATTTTGCTACTATAATACACGCATCATCAAATCTCAACTAACCATTATTAGACTATGGGTAAAGGATTAATTACCGAAAAAATGTAAGAATTTTCCAATATAATTAAATTAAAATAATAAACTGATTTTTGTATGAGAAAATCCAATAACTAATTTATATATCATGAAAAAAATGTGTTCATACAGACTAAAGTAATATATTTATTAAATGGTAAAAAGAGGTAGAACGTTTCTTGATACTATATATTACAATATAAATTATAATAAGTATTTGTTTGCATGAGAGTGAAAATATTTAATATTATTATAATTTAAATTATAAACATAAATTAAGTTTTGATTTAATAATTTAAAAGTACTATTAATAATCTTATAAATTTATTTAATAAGAAATAGTAATCAATTAATAAAACTTAAGAACATATTTACATAATTAAATATATAATTTTTGAAATTTAATGTAATTTTTAGTTTGGTTCTTCAAATGTTGTTTTGGTGTTATAGAGAGAGAAAAATTATAACTTAGAAAAAATAATTATTATGATTTATACATGTAAAAAATAATAAAAATATAAAGAAAAGGGAAAAAATGAAAAAATAAGTATATTTAAGAAGTAGAAAATAAAATAAAATAAATTTTAAAATAATATTTATTAAAATTATAAACATAAATTAAATTTTGATTTAATAATTTAAAAGTACTAGTAATAATTTTATAAATTTATCTAATAGGAAATAGTAATTAATTAATAGAACTTAAGAAAATATTTACATAATAAAATATATTGGTTTTTGAAATTTAATGTAATTTTTATTTTGGTTCTCCAAATGCTATTTTGGTGTTATAGAGAGAAACCATATTATAACTTAAAGAAAAAAAATTATGATTTATATATTAAAATAATAATAATATAAATAAAAAAGGAAAAAATGTAAGTATATTTAATAAATAGAAAAAATATAAAATAAATTTTAAAATAATATTTATTAAAATTATAAATATATAATTACTTTCACTATTTGTATATAATAAATATTTCATATTTGATAATTTTATATTTATAATGCGTCTTATTCAAGATATATATATATATATATATATATATATATATATATATATATATATATAAATTTTTCTTATATTAATTACAGAACAATAATAAAGTTTGAACGATACAATTATTTGCCTCCAATTATATTAAAATAGTAATCATACGATCATCCAAAATGAAGAAATCAGGATCTAAGCTGATCCATGATAGATTTAATTAAGTTAAAACAGATGAAACTAAATCAAATCATATTAAATTATTAGATAAATATATTTCATTTAATTTAAATTAGATTAGATTAAATTAAATTAAATTACTTTAATCAAAAGACATAAATATAATTAGTAAAAAAAAAATGAGCAAAAGTTTATATATTTTAAATGGGAGGGAGTATCTCTTAATAATTCTTTGCTTAAGAACCAAACTAAGAAAATTATGCAAAACCCTTTCTCCAATCTTTATAGGTCTCTCAAAATTTCAAGCCACATTGTGTAACTTCATTGGGAAATAACTAATAAATTAAAAATTTTGGTTTAATATCTAAACTTTTTATTTGTGTTTATTTTGCTTTAAGTTTAAATGCGTGTGCTTTAAGTTAATTTTAAGTACCTATTTTTGTTTAGGAGTTAAAATAATATCATTTTTATTATTATTTATTTTAATCAAATATTATATTGTTTTATTGTAAAGATAAGTGCGTTTTTTTCTATTTGTATATTATTATAGAATGCTATTTTAATTTTTAATAACTTTTTATAATTTATTAAGTTATTTTAAAAATATAAATGATTATAATGTGTAATTAAAATATTTTTGCAAAAGATAACTTTTTTTAAACATTTATTTTATATTGATTTGAGAAATTAAAAATTATTTACCCTTGTTAATGAGTTAAATTTATAAATATTGTATATCTGATTGGTAACTTAAAATTGTTAAAAAAATATTTTATATTTTCTATAATTTTATTGTTGTTTTTGTTGCCATCGTTAATTTTATGTCATTGTAAAGTTTTAATAAATTTTTTGCATCAAGGGCACATCAAACTAGTACTTTATGTAAAATTTGGGAAAACAATATTGAAGGTTTAACATAAATTTATGTTAGAGTTATAGTATTTAAAAATATGAAACAAATTTCCTCTTCTATTTTTCAATTATCTTAAAATAAATATTCTTAAAATGGGCGTTGATTATTATTGTCTTAAAAAAATTATATAATGTACGTAATATAATGAATTCGAAATTATTAAAGTTCTTCGCGACACAAGAAATTAGAGATTATTATTTTTAGTTTTAGATATTTACAAAAAATATAAAAAAGAACATTCTCTATTATATGATTTCGTCATATGAAAATATAATTAAATTTAAAGAAAAAGTGTAAATCTAGTACTATTCTTGCTGCAATAATGTTTATCCGTACATTTTTAGAAAATGCATGGGAAGTTAATCATGAGACTAATCATTAATATGATTGAATGTCTAAATCGACACTAAATATATGAATCCAATTAGAAAAAAAAAAAAAAAACTTTTAAAATTTATTGATGCTATTGATGTGAAGCCCTAGTTTTGCAGAAGCTGTTCATATATAACTACTTTCCGTGTGAGAATGGTAAGAGAAGAAAAAAAAAATGGTGCTTGTTCTTCAAGTGAAAGTGATGTTATTATGCTTAACCAAGTTGCTTTCATACAACATTTTCTGTGTAGTCATCATGGTCTTTGAATATGGTGACGATCAAATCATATTCATTTTGACCTATTTTCAAAAGCTCCTGTTGATTTTGTACAAAACAAGAACACGATATATGGTTAGAAACAAAATGTCAGAAATGAGGTTTCATTATTACGATTAAAATCTTAACAAAATAATTTATATTGTAAGAAAAAAAATTATATTAAACATATACATTTATTATTTTCATTATATGAAAAATGTTATCCTTATATAAATTATAGTTACTATATCTGTATTTGCTTATTTTATATTGATTAAAACAAACTAACGTATTAGTCAATAAAATAAATTTTCATAGTATACTGCATATGTGAACATGATTTCTTTTAATATCATTGTAAAAAGTAATTATTAACATCATTAGTTATTTTTATCCCATCCTAAATATGATTTACTTTGTGCCCAAAGCAGCATTATCATAATTTTGTATAGTCACTCTTTTTGTGGTTGGATGGAAACATAGTCTGAAAGGGATAAAAACCATGATTTGCTATGAAATGAAGTTTAGTGGAAGAGCAGTTTTTTTCCGCTGGTTTTGGACTGAGAAGAAATGAATGATGATGGAGGAAAAGAAAAAGAGTGAATGAGTGGTGGTGGTGGTGGTGGTGATGATGAGTGAGATGTTTGTGACTGTTCAGTTCAAATCGCAACAGCAGAAGAGAAAAAAAAAAACAAAAAAAAAAATCTAGGGTTTCCATTTGCATGTGATGTCCCGATGAGTGACTTGTGCCAAAATCAGGAATCCGCACGATAATGAAAAAGAAGGAGGGTGGCGATGAAGCACCAAGGAAAATGCTCTCAAAATCAACCTCATCCCAATAATGCCTTAGAAGTGACGCTTAAAACTTTCGATGTGGGACCTGCTTTCGTTTTCTCAAATGTCCCGGCCAGTCCCAAAGTATGGGAGTTACAACAACACTAGTCACCTTGCACATAAAAAGAAAACAAAAACACCACGTTTAATTTACTCCCATATCAGTCTCTGCAATGATGCTTCCACTTGGTTTCCCAGTACAACTCTCTTTCCTCCTTTCATCACTTGTTCATTTCACTGTATATTGGTAGGGTTGACGTAGGATAAATATGAAAGAAAAGATGGAAGTTAAATTTGTTATCCAGTTTATCATTAAACCAAAAGTTATAGATATTAAGTTAAAAATTATAATTATTAGTTAGAGCAACTCATTTTATTTTAATAATTTAAATGTTACGATTTAATCGTGGTTCAGTCTACTTAATCTTTATTATAAGACAATTAATGTTACGGGCAACTCTCTTTTCTCCTTTTTCATCACTTATTCATTTCACTGTACATTGATAGGGTTGCTGTAGGATAAGTGTGAAAGAAAACATGGAAGTTCAATTGTCACAACCTTTACACTTTCCACTAATAGTTCAGAATTTTTATTTGGTGATTTACCCCACTAGT